CCCCGGCCCATCACAACACGGCTGGTCCCACCCTAGCGAGGTTCTGCTCCCCCACGCACCTCTTGGCCCATCTCCTTCCAAGGCGCAGCTTGGCCATTTTAAAAAATGGCGCCACAAGGACAAGCCGCGCATGACCCCACCCCCCTCCGGCTCGCTGTGCGTGACCCTACCGCCAGCGCAGCCCCGGCTCCTCTTGATGCTGCCGCCCAGGATGACAGCTTCCCTTCTCCAGCCGGGGTCAGCTTGCTGGCCTCCTCGCCGGAGTCCCTTGGCCCGGTGGGGCCGTAAGTGCCAGCTGGCCCCCTACTGGCTCTGTTGCAGAGCGCACACCTATGCTTCCCTTCCATCCCGGGCTGGCAGAATGGTGTCCCAGAAAGTGTGGTGCCCTACGCGACTGCATACTCTGTGTATGCCTAAGGACAACCCTGCTACTTTAGAGGCCTTATGTACATTCACAAAAATAGAACTTGAGTAGCATTGGAAAGGGTTCAGAAAAGGGCAACTAAAATGATTAGGGGTTTGGAACGGGTCCCATATGAGGAGAGGCTAAAGAGACTGGGACTTTTCAGTTTAGAAAAGAGGAGACTGAGGGGGGATATCATAGAGGTCTATAAAATCATGAGTGGTGTGGAGAGGGCTGATAAAGAAAAATTATTTATTAGTTCCCATAATGGAAGAACTAGAGGACACCAAATGAAATTAATGGGTAGCAGGTTTAAAACTAATAAAAGGAAGTTCTTCTTCACACAGCGTTTTGTCAACCTGTGGAACTCCTTGCCAGAGGAGGCGGTGAAGGCTAGGACTATAATAGAGTTTAAAGAGAAGCTGGATAAATTCATGGAGGTTAGGTCCATAAAAGGCTATTAGCCAGGGGATAAAATGGTGTCCTTGGCCTCTGTTTGTCAGAGGCTGGAGAGGGATGGCAGGAGACAAATCACTTGATCATTGTCTTCGGTCAACCCTCTCTGGGGTACCTGGTGTTGGCCACTGTCAGTAGACAGGATACTGGGCTAGATGGACCTTTGGTCTGACCCAGTACGGCCGTTCTTATGTTCTTATGTATTGTTTATTAGCAATGAAGTACAATCTAATGGAATTAGCGGTGATGGGATAAGGCTGAAATACTTTGGGAAGAAAGCTACTAGAGGTTCCCCTAATAGAGTGCTTGGGGTCTGCTGCAAACCATCAGAATCCAATCTGGATAGAGACCTCTTTAATATTCATAATGAAGTAAACACTTCTGGGAATTATGTGATTATGGGAGACTTTAACTTTCTATATATAGATCTGAGGACAAGTGCTACTGATCATAGTAGTGCCTGGATTTTATCAAATTTCTTCACCAAATGGTTGATGAGGCAACAAGAAGAGGTTGCCATTTTAGATTGGTATTGGTGAAGACCTCATAGATGAACTGGTTATAGAGAACAACCTTTGTTCCAGTGATCATTGGCTAATTCAGTTTCAACTAAATGGAAAATTAAACAAAAATAGATCTGCAGCAAGAGTCCTTTTTTTTTCAAAAGAGCTATTCTTACCATTTAAGTGTATTAGTTAGGGAAGTGGACTGCACTGAATAAATAAAAGATCTGAATATAGAGGAAGCTCAGAATTACTTTCACTCAAAGTTGCAGAAGCTGTCTGAACCTCACATTCGCAGAAATGGGAAAAAGTATAGGGAAGGGTTAACAAGCATCTCAAATGAGGGTATGTCTACACTTGAACCCTCTTTCGAGAGAAGGATGCAAATGAAGGCATTCAAAATTGCAATTGAAGCCGGGATTTAAATATCCATGCTTCATTTGCATAATCACGTTATGGCGCTATTTTGAAATACAAAATGCGGTGTAGATGCAGTTATTTCAGGAGAACACCCTTCTTCCGAAATAACCCTTATTCCTCATTAAATGAGGTTGAACAGTTATTTTGGAGGGAGGACCAAAGAAACCTCCCTTTTTATTGTCAAAATATTTAGGGATAAAGTGAGAACTGACAAAAGCCAAGCAGAGTTGGATCTTGTAAAGGGAATTAAACTCAATAGTAAAGAGTTCTATAGACACATAAATAAAGAGAAAACAAGGAAAAATGTAGGACCACTAAGAACTGAGACTTAGGTGACTATTAAGGATTATATAGGTAGGGCCCAATATCTAAACAAATACTTTACCTCTGTTTTTAATGGGACTAATAAGGAGTTTGAGGGTATTAGCAAGGTGGCTAAAGGCAATGAAAGTATATGAAGGTAGAAATTACCACATCTAAGGTGGAAGTCAAACTCAAACAGCTTAATGGGATTAAAAGGGGGAGACTAGATAATATCAACCCAAGAATATTAAAGAAACTAGCGCATGAAATTGCAAGCCCAGTTCCTTATTTTGAAAAGATAACTGATTTTTTTTACACAAAGAAAATGCAGTAGATCTAATTTACCTGGATTTTAATAAGGCATTTGATGCAGTTCCACATGGCACCGTAGGGATTATTATAAGAATTGAAAGGTGGGGAAGGACCTGGCTAAAGAGGAGACTGTTTCATGCTGAAAGGTGAATGGTCAGTCTGGAGGGAGGTTACAAGTAGAAATCTTTAGGGAATGATCTTAGGTCCAATCTTATTTAACATTTTTATTACTGATCTTGGCACAAAAATTGTGTGTGCTAACAATGTGGAAGGTACAGGCAATACAGAGGAAGATCAGAATATCATACAAGAAGATCTGGATGACCTTGTAAATGGGATATAACTTAATACTGGAACGTGCAAGGTCATGCATTTAGGGACTAAAAACAAAAAGTTTTGCTATAACATAGGGACTTATCACTTGGAACACACAGCGGGAGAAAGACCTGAGAGTATTGACAGATCACAGGATGACTATCAATGTGATGTGGCCATGCAAAGGGCTAATGCTATCCGAGGGTGCAACAGAAGAAGTATTTCTGTTAGAGACTGGGAAATGTTAGTACCATTCTACAAGGTACTGGTGGAACCTCAATTGGAATAGTGTGTACAATTCTGGTCTTCCATGTTTGAAATGAATTCAGACTAGAACAGTTCAGAGAAGGGTTAATAGAATGATCTGAGGAATCTGTCTCGTGAGAGGAGCCTGGTTAGTTTAGCCTAACTAAAAGAAGGCTGAAGAGATATTTGATTGCTCTTTACAATTACATCTGAGGGATAAGAAGGTTATAAGGAGGTGGTAAAAGTTATTTAAGTGCCAACATAGACACAAGAAAAAATAGATATAAAATGGCCAAAAGTGAGTTTATCCTTGAAATTAGGAAAGGGTTTCTAATCATCAGAAGAGTGAAATTCTAAACTAGACTTCCAGTGGGACCAGACTTGAGCTTGATACATTTTTCAGAGGGTCTGGAATGGTGGGAATGCCTATTTTGGCACTTAGCCCATCAACAGCTGCCAATAGCAAAAATTCCCAATGGGTAGAGGTGGGGCACTAGATGGGGTGAGTTCTGAGAAATAAGTTACCTGAGAAATAATTCTCAGTAGTATCAGCATGGTGGATCTTGGCAACATTCTCAGGGTTAACTGATTGGAATATTTGGGGTTGGGATGAAGTTTTCCCTCTTGGGGCGTATTGATAGAAACACTAGGGATTTTCTACCACCTTCTGCAACATGATGCATGGAGTGTAAATGGTTAATTCTCTGTAATTTGACATCCTCAAACTATGATTTGTGGACTTCAGTCAGTTGATCTATTTCAGGAGTGGTTGCATGAGGTTCATAGCATGCTATGTGTAGGAAGTCAGGCTAGATGATCATGGTGCTTCTCTCCTGACCTTAAAGTCTGAGTCTGTGAGAATCTGTAATGAATCAGTGTGTACTTGCATTGGGATAGCAAAAGAAAAATCTCTACTGAAAATTGAAAAAAAAACATTTATATCATTGTGTCTTCTGTCACTGACTAAAACTAGAATTAGATCACCTAGTAGTTAGGAACACCTGAATTCAATGTAGACTCTGGACTCCACCTCTGCTATCACTAGTGGAGGAATACAGATCCTAATTTTCCTATATGTAGATGCAGCCTTAAGTAATTTCTGAGACTTGGGCACAGATTTTTAAATGTATTGTGGTAGCCATGTTGGTCACAAGATATATGAGAAACAAGGTGGTTGTGGTTATATTTGATTGTCCAATTTCTGTTAGTAAAAGAGAGAAGATTTTGAGCTTTCCTAATCAAGACCTCTGTGGAGCTTGAAAGATTGTCTCTTTCAATAGCAGAAGTTGGTCCTTGCTCCCTCTTTTTGCAAGGCCTTGCTGACTTACATAAGTCCCATTTTCAAAAGTAACTTATGTATATAGGCACTTATGTCCCAATGATTTTCAAAGTGTCTTACGCTTCTGGAAGAGTGGATTACTTTTGAAAATGTGATTAAAAGGCATGTGTATATGTGGCAAGCTGAGGTGTGAACCTACAATGCACCAGCCTACTTCACTCTACAGAACTTCTAGTGCATGGCAGAAACCTCTACATGACCACTGAGTATGTGGCAGAGTAGAGTGGTTTAGATTTACAAATCAGTTTGCTGCCCATTGACTCACCGTATAGACACGCCCTTCAGGTCACTTAGATCTTTCAGAGTTTTGCAAAGTTAATGCCTAAAGATCTTTACAAATTTATGAAATGGGAATGGTAAGATTTACCTACTCATCTACATATTTCACTGGTATTTTGAGACTCTTAGAAGGTGAAAAGTGCTTAGTATTGTAAACTAAAAGCATTTCATCCATGTGTAATTTAAAGGAGTAAACAAGATCTTTGTCCTGTTCAGTCTATAGAGCTTAGCAGGTTCTAACATGCATCAAATTTAGTATTTGTGCATTTATCTATTAATTTAATAAACTACAAATTTGTATATAGTAGCTTTGAGTTTACTGCTTTGTATGTCTTAAAATCTATCTTTAAACAACAAAATCTTACTTATTTTCTTTCATTATTCTGCTCTGCTCCCATTGATGACTCTAAACTTTTGACTCCAGACTGGCAATATGAGGGTAAGATGGCAAAATGTAACTTCCTGAACATTGCTTGTCTGTTTTTCATGTTTATTCTCTTCAGAACATTCTCTTTAATCAGTTCATTTTATTGCAACTAAATTCCAATCATATTTGTTTCTGTTGTGAAACTATAAGTACAATTTTAATCATTTCTACATATTCTTTGAGTTAAATTACCATTATATTTTTTGTCCTGAAGGATTGCTGCTCTACAGTGGTCCTTAAGGGTATATTTAGAGAAACATGAATATAGGTCTACAGTGTAGCAAGGAATTGTATTGTGTTGTGACTTGGCAAAAGCTTGGTGTGTGTATGCACGATATTGAAAGTAAAAGTGTCATAACAGTTACAGCGTATACAAGAAGTCATAATAAGAGCAGATAGTGACATTTTCATTTTCATGATGGGAGAGATCCTTAGGTTCTAATTCTGTAGTATCTCATGAAAATTTCCATTTACTTCAGGCTTTGAATAAAGTTCATTTGGGCCCTTTATATCGGTGATTAGCTAACAATTATCTTGGAAATATATGGAACATACTTTGGAGTCAGAGATAACTTCTGTTTTTGTATTTATAGACTGCAAGTTGGCCAGGGCAGGTCCTCCAGCCACAATAGTTCCTATTGATGAAGAAAGCCGAAACGGTGAGTGTACACTGTCTTCTAAAAAATATTCTGTGTGATTATGTGTTTGGTATTAAAAAGAGTGCTCATACCACAATTGTTTACGATGTATCACAGAGTAAGTATACCTGCTCAGTTGATAATACCCAAATAATGTATTGAATAACTGAGTTTTCATGGAGGAAAAATTCTGGTCAATCTTTACCACATATTCAATAGCAACATATATGTTTTGTACCACTGTGTTTTTGTGTTTGCTAATCTACAGATATTTGCTAATCTGTTATCTTGTTCCATGTTGTCAGATCAAATTTACAAATAAATAACCTTCCAATTTGTTCTGCTATTAAAGAGTTAAATGTGGCATTCTAAATGTCCAGTATCTTTGAGTTATTGCTTGGACTAATTTTTTTTATCATCAAAATAAATGAGAGAATATGCTGGGTATGTATAGTACAGTAGTTCAAAATTCTTCTTCATTTATCACTGATTTCTTTCCCCTAAGCAACATAAACCAGTCTTTTAATTGACAATACAAAAAGCAGTCAGTCTGCAACTGGAATAGATGTCATTATGCTCGCTGTTCATTTTATACTCCAGTTTTGTAACTATTTGAGTTACACTCTATAGGTCAGCTTTCAGAAATAACAACTTTGAAATATAATATGATAGAACTAATAGTATTTTCTTTTAAAATTGTGGTAAGCACAAAGGAAGTCTGATGAGAGGCAAAAATATCAAAATGCCTGAGTGGCCTAGGAATCACATTTCATTGACTTTGAAAACGGACCTTACGTTTCTTAGGCACTTGAAAAGTTTATCTGAGATCAGACTCTCAAGCATTTTCTAAACATCTTGGCCAAGATTTCTAAAGGGTATATTTTGATTGCTTCAACTGATGATTTCTCACCTTGAATCATCTTCATATAGTACAATTTTCAATGCATTGAGCACCCAAAATTGCTAACTAGCCAGTTTTCAAAATCTTGGCTTTAGAGTACGAGCTGTGCTTAAAATAGACACAAATGGTGTTTGAAATCCATTGTAGCCCCTTTTCCCCCTGTAACAATATTATGAATGTTCTGAATAACTCTGTGACAGTTAAGGAAAGAATCCAGTTGTGTTTCCCATGCTGTTTTGAGAGAGAAATTAAACTATTCTGAAATGTCCACTTCTGAATTCACTGGAACAATGGCAGTGATTTTTAAAGAATGCTTTGGATTCCTTTTCCATGTTTGCCATATGGCTTTATGCATCCATCAAAACCAATGGTGGTGCCTGCTAATGCTCAAAAAAAAAGGAAAAGATAAAACTAGTCTCTTTATTGTTCAACCCTTCTACTTAGTGAGCCAGCTGTTGAGTGTTAATGTCTGTCTTAAATGTATGCAACAGAATGTAGGTCTTGGAGAGAACATTTGAGTTGTAATAAGAGTTATGCTGCGCATATACACATTGTGTGTCACTTGTGGTATCTAAGAAATCATTGCTTTCAGCTTTTGGTTTTGCAGATTTGTTAGGCATAGAACTGTGGATAGTCAATGACCCAGAGTGATTGACATTTTGCAGTGTATATGAGAAGAATTTTGGCCATACAGTGTAATACAGAATCAACAGTTCTTACCAGTGGACCATATTTGCTGCTGCTTGCCTGCCTGCCTGAGCAAAATACTGTTTAGAATTGTAGAAGGTCATGTGCATCCTTGACGATGCAATTTTTTCTGATTGTACAGCTATCGATTTAACATTCTTTTGTATTAAGAAAATGAAAATCTATTGTTCCTAATAGTTCTATTTTATATAATGTGAAATATTGTTAAAGGCTCTGCATGAATAGATTTTAACAATTGGTTATTTTTCCCTCTATGTGTGTTAACTTTCTTGTGTTCATGTCCACTGAAGCTCTGAAACACTAGTCTGAAGAAAATTGCAGTAGCAATCGTATCTGCATGTATAGTAGGGGCAACAGCTGCAATTCTAGCAACAATTTGTGTGAGTGGAGCCTGGAGACTCAAAGCAGCTATTTTATGACTTTTTTCCTGATATTTTTGAACCACCAGCAAAAATAATTAACAGACTAAATATTAGTATTTTTTTCATTAGATAGCATTATCGTATTTCCATTATGTCAAACAAAGTTATAAATTGAATCCTTTGCTTTTTTCTTCCATAGTGATTATACAAAATTAACTTGATATACCTTAAAATTCTATATAGGTGGAAGATTGTAAGTGAAATACAGATGTAATAGAAGATTTTATATACCTAAGAATACTTAAATATTCAGAAGCAAACAGTACCTATTTTAGTTTGTCTGTATTTTCTACTTTTACCAAAAAGCAATAAATTTGGTACAATTGGTTTTGCTTTTATAGCAATCTGTTGAAAAAGAAGCAGTGTTTATTATTCTTTGGTTAATTCATGGACTAAAGAATTCTATTAAGAGTTAGCTGCAAACGAGTATAAACATTTCACCTATCAAGCATACTAGATTGCTATCTAGCTATCAAGCATACTAGATTGCAAGTAAGAAATAGTAATTGCTATTGTGATTTACCTCATTTTATTTGTGTGCAATCAGGAGTCCGTTAAATACCTACAGAGTGATGATTTTAAAATAAAAATTGAAATAAGCAAAATGGAAAATATATATTCATTTAAAATACTGAAAATAGTGCACAAATCAAGGTATGCTAATTAACTTTTACAGTAAGTTTATTTCTGGATTTTTTTCACTACTTGATACACTGTTTCCTCCCCCCGCCCCCATGCTGCTGCCTCTGACCCCGCGTGTACCAGCTCTGCTTACCTCCCTCACGCTTTGCGCTGCTGACTATCACAGGCAGCACTGGAGTGAGTGGGGGAGGAAGAAGGAGGGCTGCTCCATGAAGCCAGTGCTCATAAGGAGCCAGCTTTTAAGCCTTTGTAGGATGCAGCAATGAGGGAGCAGGTTATTCTGCAGAGCCAACATGTGCGAGGAGCCATCTTAAAAGCTGGCTCCCCTCTGTGTATCGGCTCCCACCTGCCATCTCCATCCCTGCACTGCTGCCTCCGATAGAGAGGCAGGGTACAGTAGTTCAAAATTCTTCTTCATTTATCACTGATTTCTTTCCCCTAAGCAACATAAACCAGTCTTTTAATTGACAATACAAAAAGCAGTCAGTCTGCAACTGGAATAGATGTCATTATGCTCGCTGTTCATTTTATACTCCAGTTTTGTAACTATTTGAGTTACACTCTATAGGTCAGCTTTCAGAAATAACAACTTTGAAATATAATATGATAGAACTAATAGTATTTTCTTTTAAAATTGTGGTAAGCACAAAGGAAGTCTGATGAGAGGCAAAAATATCAAAATGCCTGAGTGGCCTAGGAATCACATTTCATTGACTTTGAAAACGGACCTTACGTTTCTTAGGCACTTGAAAAGTTTATCTGAGATCAGACTCTCAAGCATTTTCTAAACATCTTGGCCAAGATTTCTAAAGGGTATATTTTGATTGCTTCAACTGATGATTTCTCACCTTGAATCATCTTCATATAGTACAATTTTCAATGCATTGAGCACCCAAAATTGCTAACTAGCCAGTTTTCAAAATCTTGGCTTTAGAGTACGAGCTGTGCTTAAAATAGACACAAATGGTGTTTGAAATCCATTGTAGCCCCTTTTCCCCCTGTAACAATATTATGAATGTTCTGAATAACTCTGTGACAGTTAAGGAAAGAATCCAGTTGTGTTTCCGAAGCTGTTTTGAGAGAGAAATTAAACTATTCTGAAATGTCCACTTCTGAATTCACTGGAACAATGGCAGTGATTTTTAAAGAATGCTTTGGATTCCTTTTCCATGTTTGCCATATGGCTTTATGCATCCATCAAAACCAATGGTGGTGCCTGCTAATGCTCAAAAAAAAAGGAAAAGATAAAACTAGTCTCTTTATTGTTCAACCCTTCTACTTAGTGAGCCAGCTGTTGAGTGTTAATGTCTGTCTTAAATGTATGCAACAGAATGTAGGACTTGGAGAGAACATTTGAGTTGTAATAAGAGTTATGCTGCGCATATACACATTGTGTGTCACTTGTGGTATCTAAGAAATCATTGCTTTCAGCTTTTGGTTTTGCAGATTTGTTAGGCATAGAACTGTGGATAGTCAATGACCCAGAGTGATTGACATTTTGCAGTGTATATGAGAAGAATTTTGGCCATACAGTGTAATACAGAATCAACAGTTCTTACCAGTGGACCATATTTGCTGCTGCTTGCCTGCCTGCCTGAGCAAAATACTGTTTAGAATTGTAGAAGGTCATGTGCATCCTTGACGATGCAATTTTTTCTGATTGTACAGCTATCGATTTAACATTCTTTTGTATTAAGAAAATGAAAATCTATTGTTCCTAATAGTTCTATTTTATATAATGTGAAATATTGTTAAAGGCTCTGCATGAATAGATTTTAACAATTGGTTATTTTTCCCTCTATGTGTGTTAACTTTCTTGTGTTCATGTCCACTGAAGCTCTGAAACACTAGTCTGAAGAAAATTGCAGTAGCAATCGTATCTGCATGTATAGTAGGGGCAACAGCTGCAATTCTAGCAACAATTTGTGTGAGTGGAGCCTGGAGACTCAAAGCAGCTATTTTATGACTTTTTTCCTGATATTTTTGAACCACCAGCAAAAATAATTAACAGACTAAATATTAGTATTTTTTTTCATTAGATAGCATTATCGTATTTCCATTATGTCAAACAAAGTTATAAATTGAATCCTTTGCTTTTTTCTTCCATAGTGATTATACAAAATTAACTTGATATACCTTAAAATTCTATATAGGTGGAAGATTGTAAGTGAAATACAGATGTAATAGAAGATTTTATATACCTAAGAATACTTAAATATTCAGAAGCAAACAGTACCTATTTTAGTTTGTCTGTATTTTCTACTTTTACCAAAAAGCAATAAATTTGGTACAATTGGTTTTGCTTTTATAGCAATCTGTTGAAAAAGAAGCAGTGTTTATTATTCTTT